TGACCTAATTTTGTTGCCAGACCAAATAGAAAAGAAGATTATTGCACAATAATACATTTGAAAATGTGTTTGCATGAGTTGCAGCTAGATGTGGAAGTGGTGGAAATAAATGCAAAAACAGATAGAGTAATTTTCTTAAGCTCTTAATCTTAGTGTGTATATAAAATTTGTTTATAGGAATTTTTTTAATGTTCCTCAGACTGTGGCTGTCAGGTGTCAGAGCTTCATAACTAGCACAATGTGTTTATTTCTTCTATTTTTGCTGTTTGTTCCTTTTTGATACTTGTTTTTCAAGTTGTGGGAGAAGATAGGCTTTTTAAAACAAAAATCCAGCCTATGTTTATTTTTAATAGAAAAGTCAGATATAGAATAATAGAGAATTTCCAGCACAGCTGGAAATTACGTTTGACTGTAGGTTACAGTGCATGCGAAGACTGTATGGCTTTGAAAGAGGCAGTTCTAGTGCCAAGTTTTGTATGTTAACATTGACTGTATACTAACATTTATAGAATACAGAAAATCAAGTCATCAAGACTCTTCCCTTTCATGGGAACATTGAAATTTTGAACTCAAAATAGACCAACCATTTCTTGAATGTTTATGGTTATGTGTAAGACAATCAATTCCTGTTTGGATTTTTCAGCAGTGCCTCAAAAGTATGTTTTACTACACATGTTAAGATTGGGAACAGAATTTTAAAGATAACCTGTGAACTTTTAAGATCTAGTATCTTAGGGTTTTAAAATCTGGATGAGAAATTATTTGAATTATTAAAACCTGTGATTTAACAAAAATGAGATGGAGCATGTGAGTGCTATTGTTTGCAATGCTGAACAATTCCTGTGAAACACTGTACACTTCTTTCTGTGAGAACATACATTGAATCTGGTCATTGGACAGATGTAGTTTAGGAGGGCCTGCTTTAGACAGGTTTTACTTAACCTACTTTTAAACTTGTCTTTCTTTTTTCCTTTTTTTTTTTTTTTACCACAGTTGTTGCCAAGCTAAACATTTTTTTGTGTCAGGAATACTATGTTTTGTGAAAACATGTGATTTGACTTTGCTTACAAGGGACAGTAAGGGCTTTGTGGATTTTCTGTGCTAGAGGGTCCTATATGGCTTTATATGCTTATATATAATTCAAGTTGACAAACTGTAATTGAGAAATGCGAGATTCCTGTATTTTTAAGTACAAAATAAGTATATTTATGACAACTAAAGGATTGATTGACAATTTTACTGTTACAATGCTGCTCTTCTAAAATGGTCTTACGTCGAGAAGGCGCAGGTAGCCATAGTGGTCTTTGACTACAGTTGATTTGGGGAGGTTGATAGGGTGGAGGCTTATATGAATGTTTACTTTTTTGAAGGAATTCTTATAAAACTCTTTCTTGTAAAGGTAATATATTTTCTGTACTATGAAATTATGTATATCTGAACTAGGGTTTAATACTCTGCTTCTAGAAGTCCTGTAGTATAGAGGGATTCTGATAAGTGTTGGCTTTTCATGTGAATAAGCAGCTAACCTCTTGTGTTCAAAGCAAAGAGGATCACTGAATTTTGTATTTGGACTCGGATCTCATGTTTGAATTATACATCAACATAAAAACTATGTGCTGTGTATGTTACGTATATCCAAGAAAGGAAGCAGACAAATAAAAGCTCTTTGAAAAATATGGCTGTATTAATATTAGTCATATTTGAAACACATTATATCAGGTACCACATTGAAAGTAATTTCTTTCTCATGTTAAGATAATAAGTTTAAGGAAGGTAGCTGGTGTTAATGTGTTACTACCTTTTTTCTGTGTGGACCCATCCTGTTAACTTTAAGTTCATTTAAATGGCTTCATGTAGTGCTATGAACTGATACCTGAGCTAGTCCAAAACAAGTTAGATTGGGTTCTAGATGCACTGTTAGCTGCTTGACACTTGGCTCACGCTGGTAATTCTTGTGGGAAACTTTGTGTGTTTATCTGTATGAAGCAGCATGCTAATGTAGCTATTTCTAATTCATTGCTTTTGATATGTTAAGCAGAGCTAGCTCGGTCACTGTCCCGTGGCACTGTGTTCTACTACAGTATAGACATGTCCTTGGGAAGAATTGTCTGACTTCAAGGCACTTTGGGGGATTTGGATTGGAACTGGGGGTTCTGAGTTTTTATTTGTCCTTGAAATACATACCTGTAAAATGATAGTTACCAGAGAAGTTTGTTCTCTGTAGGACCTTAGTTGTATGACACTTTGCATCTCTGCCTTGGTTGAAAGCTGTTGCAGTCTTCCTATCTACTTGGCTACTAATCATACAGAGTGCTTTGTACTATTTAGTCAGTTTTGTCTTGCCATTTAGATTTTCCTAGTTCACATGTATTAAACATGCTATTGCTTTCCTCACTTGGCAATTTAATACTGGCTGTTCCAGAAGTAGTCTGCAGATGTTGGGGCTCCAAGATCTCCCTTATGCACACTCACAGAACAGTTCTGGATATGCACAGAGACAAAATTTTAAGTGTCTGTGATACTTCTTTAAACTGGGATGTCAAAGAATTAAGTTTGGAGAAGCTGGAGTTTACTTGGCTATAGCATTCAGAATTTTTTTGTACAAGTTGTAGTGCAAGTCATGAAAGGACTAAGCGGTTTTTTTGAGACTACTGAAAAATAATTTTTCTTTCATATTAATGTTTGTTTTGTCTTAGAGCTAACTTTGCTTTGATGAATGAAAAATGGAGATGGAAATTTTCATGCTACCTGCATTTGCAGTAGAAAGGTCAAAACCATTCATTACTGAGTCGGCTTTCTTTATGCTCTTGCTAAACTATGGGTTTGATGATTGTTTCTGTTGAAATGATTTCAGAAGTTTTATTGCAGTTAGATAATTTTGATTCTGGTTGCAGGCTGGATTTTAAATGTCTGAAGTTTACAGTCACTACATGTACTTTTAACAACCTGTAATAGTTGTTACCTATGTTTTGTAACCAATTCTTACTTGAGAGAACTGGTACTGCTTGTGTTTCTTTAAGTCCTGGCTCCTGTTGCAGGTCTACTGCTGTCAGTGCTTTGATTTGGGGAAGAAACTAGTCTACAGGGAGTGTTGAGAAGAGCAGGCAGGAGCTTTCCCTACCTGCCATTTGGGAGACGAGGAGCAGTCTGCCAGACTCTTCTTGCCTCACTGGAAAAAGCTGCATGACAGATGGTCATGTCATCATAAATAAAAATAGATTACTGTAGTTCAGGACAGTTCCGAGCATGATTTCCACATTGCTTCTCCCCGGGCTGCTGCTGAGAAATGCTGAGAGCACTGTGCAGAAAACCCTTTAATCTGCATAGAAATCAATACTGGAAAATTAAAATTACCATTTAAAATTTTTAGAATTACAAAACTACATCTGCTTTAGAAAAAAATGTTGCTGTCCGTTCCATAGAGAAATGCTGTTTGGTTTAGTCAGTAAGGCAAAGGCCTAGCAATCTGTGAAGTGTGGTTACAGCACTGAGCTGTTTGGTGTGCGCTGCCAGCACAGCCTTTTTTGTACCTTTGTGCCTCCCTCTGATTCTTTTGTCTCCTGCCTAGCTACCTGTTCAGTCTTCGGAACAGATGCTGCTATGCTACTGAGTTGCACTGTGGCAGTACTTCTTGGTATTACAAGTGAGAATCATAATTGAAGAAGAATGGTGATCTTCATTCCACTGTTGAAATAAGCAATGAGTACTTCCAATAGGGACTGTGTATTTCATTACAGTTTCCTGCCCATGGTTACAAATTACAAAAAGAACTCTCGTATGGTATTTATATACAAGGAAAACAAGTACTTAAAGGAATCTTAGATTCTGTTCCATCCATGTAATTTTTATTAGTATTCAAGTTCTACCCAGTTTGAAAATGTATTGAATATCTGCTTTTGACCAAAATGTTCTTCAACTTCTGAGTATTAATCTTTACCTATAATCTGTTTCTATTCTTCCATCTTTGGTTATAGCCTTTCAGTTTCAGAATAACAAATAACTGTATACAACAGACCTGACAAAGACCTCTTAACATTCTGACATTGTCTAACTGCTCCCAGTCTGTTCCCTCCCTTATTCTCAAAATAGCTTCTTGTTCAACCTTTTGCATATGGGAATGAAATAAATTAGACAGATATGCTACTATTTTCACTACTGGTGCCAGACTGAGCATTGCTGTATTGTTCATCCTTTCACAGTAGAGACACAAATATAAACTATTTGCATGTGTGCTTTACTGCCACTAGATTAATTCCTACCTTCCTCCTCCCTAATTACCTTATGGAACTTATTAGTGATATCTACTAACTAGATTATAGTCATCAGTAGAGAAAAGCATGGTGCTGTTTTACAGTTGTCTAATTTTTTGAAGAGTAAATCCAGTTCCTATTCAAATCAACGATTCACTGACTTCCATGGAAGGGAAATCAGGCCCTTAACCATCAAGGAAGTGTAGTGTCAGACAGTCATACTATGCAAGACCCAAACCATCAAAAGCATGTGAATGATCAAAAAAGAGCTATGTTTAGCCTGCCCCACTTTATACATAATAAATAACTTGTTGGTGTATGAATTAATCTTAAAATATTTTATTAAGCACAGATAATAATGCAGAAATCCATGTAATAAAACAACTTTAGAGAAAAAGCTAAGTTAAAATGAGTTATTATAAATATTGCACTTAGAATTCTTATTTTACATACACAACTCCTTAAAAAATTGGACAGTTATAAATTAACAGCTTCCAAGTAATTGGAATTTGGTATGTTTGAGACCAGATGGTTGTGCTGCAAATCTTCGGCTTTAAGACTTCGGAGGATCTGTTCTTGTCTTGTACATGTAATGGATACCACTTTGTGCCAGGGTGTGCTTAGGTGGATGGGGGGGGAGAAAGGGTGAGCATGGTCTTAGTGTTGACAGTCAGTTGTATTTTCATGACTTATACTAAGTGAAAATTAATTTTCAAGAGAGATGATAGAATGCAGCTGCAGAGTTTAGTTTTAACATGTTTTATTTTTCAAGGCATTTAGGATCTTTGAGTTCTTAGTCTTAAAACTCATGACAAAGCTGTTGGGAAAGACTTTGCCTCTGCCCTCTTCTTCTACCTGGCCCATGATGATGTAGTTTAAACCTACAAAGGAGAGCATGAGATTACAAGACAGAAATCCTATAAGATTTGGTAAGTATAGTTCTTTATCTGCGGTCTCTACTCATTTGCACTGTTACCAATGCCTTCAAAAGTTTTTTTCTTTCTACTTAAAGCATATACTTCCTTACCCATCTTTGCCATGCTTTTTTACACAATAAAGTACAGTTATGTAAAAATCAAGTAGATATATAGCTAAGTATCTACTACATAATTAAATGCATAATTAGATGCTTATTAAATGTAGACTGTCAGATGAGTCTGAAACACATTAGAAGTGCAGTCTAAACACTGGACAACTTAGCTACTAACACCCAAAGTGGAATGTGTCTCATTCATTTTGAATATTTTCTCATTTCCTCAGCGTGTAGGATAATGCACTTAAGTCTTTTCATTCCCTTTTCCTCCCCCAAAGACATAAACATTTTCTAGATATATAGAGAGGCATTCAGGCAAGCAAGGTGACTTAATGGGTGATGAGCCCTGGCTTTGGAGAAATGAGATGGATTTGTGTATTTTTATGGCTTAGAAGGGTTAGAGGTTTATAAGACCTTAGGCTGGAAGGAGTGGTATTATAGGGGTATGAGCAGAAAAGTTTAGATATTATGTAACGGCTACTAAATAATTCATGGAGATTTAGGACAAGAAACAGAAGTGTGTGCTTTGGACCCAGCAGTCTGCCTAAAAGGAGACAATGTGTTCCACCAAGGATATTATTATGTCTTCCAGACATGTCTGATTTCCAGAGAACTAAAGGTAAAAGCAAAAGCTTGTTTCTGACAAAGATTTTTCACTTTTAGTACTACCCACTTTGAATTAATATGCTTAAATATCAGTAGTATCCTGAATGTTATCGGGAGTTTTGATGCTTATTAAATTATTTTGACTGCTTCCTGCTATGGTTCCATTTATGTTCTCCTGTTCTACCTGTTTACTCAGGAGGCAGAGGAAAACTGTTTTGTTTTTTACTTAGTTACTCCAGTGAAAAATAGTCTCAGTATTTCTTACAATGCCATACAGGTACCCCTTGTTACATGTAACTGGAAATTATCTTGGCTGATCTCTGTATAATACTGTTTAAGATAGCTATAGAAATACTGTCTGTTTGCAGATACAGTGGGCTTAATACTACTAGTATTTCTACAGTAAAGATGTAAATATATACAGGAGAGAAGTAACAGGGAAACATGTTGATTTTTGCCATTTGCTGTGACGTACTGCTCTTCTACGTGTAGCATGCTGTTGTTTTTCCTTTCTAAATAACTGTATGAAAACTAGCTCCAAAATAGATACATGTAAAAACAAAATCTAACTGAGCTTCATTTGAGAGAACCTAATCAGATTTTACTTTTTATCATGTGGGTTTAAAAAAAAAAAAAATTTTTTAACTTCTTTGATCTACATGAGCGTAATCCTTTTTAATTAAAACTGAAAAATGCAATATAAACCTGGATAACTAGTTATTTTTATCTTAAATTGATTATAATATTAGTTGCTGATTATAGTAACAGTTACTGTAATTTTACTGATTTTTGTGGTTGTATTTCAAATAGCAGTTTTCAAAACTGTTGTCTTTTATAAACACACAAAGTGGTTACTTTTGTGTACTTACCTCTTCTGATGAGAGGACACTGCTTACATACAACAATAATCCTGGCACTCATACTCTTGCCAGCTTGTTGAATTGCTAAATTTCCCTCCTTGTATACATTAATGATTGATACTGTTGCATGCAGACTGCCAGCCCGCGTTATTGCTGTGATTACAGTTCCCGTTATTACTAGAAGAAAAGACATTTGATACATTTTTATTACTTTTTAGACATACATTTTGAGGCATTGTAAAAACTGAGTAAGTATATTAGTCCATAATAAGGAAACAAACAATACCAGAAACAGTTACTAAAAATGTGGGTATCACCTGTAATAGATAACTCACTACTGATAAATTTTGGTGGCACCAAATACAAAACTGTTCCTAGAACATATCAGTCTCTTGCAAGCTCAGTTCTAGGTTTTGATAGTTTCAATTAAAAGTACAATTTGATACTACTTTTAATGACTAATTTTAAAACAGTGGAAAAGTTGAATTGAAAATGTTCTAGCCAAAACTGAATTCCCAGCTCTCTGACACTTTCAAATGAGTAGCAGGGAATAGTTAATGCCTGAGGAGCTAGATTTTGATCTGTCTGAGGCCTGACGCTGACAGGAATTTGCCACTTTCAGTTAAATTTAGACTACAGATTAGACCATCATATTTCCCAAAGACCTCTCAGATACCATTTTTTTTTCCTAGGATGATTAGATTAATTTGTAGGCCATCTTTATTTATCAAAAGGGAATGGTAAATGGTATTAACAATTTTTTTTCTCAGATCACCTTTTGTAAATAAGCTATGCTATCCTAGGATCAACCAGATCTTCAGTTATCAAGTAGGTGCAGCCAGATTTATTTTACACATCTGCATAATCCACATTTTGGGTTAGGTGTTTGTGTATTTGCGCATTATCTTCCTTTAATCCAGAGCTTTTCATTAAATAGGAATGTTCAAGTTCAAGCAAAAAAGAACTGTGGATGTTAAAATGCTGGGTATTGCAGTTATATTTCTAGAAACAATAAAAATGAAATGCACGATGAAAGAGAAATAGCTATTTTCTAAATTCATAAAGTCAGCAAGTTAAATCATATTTTACAAACAGCACACTTTCTGTTCTTACCTTAGGATACACTTGCATTCACAGTAGCATATAAAATATTCTTACTCTTACTCCTGCCATGGAAAAGACTGAAAAGTTTCAAGTATTTGACAAAAGGTGAGAGAGGAGAATGTGATTTACTACCCTGATGCTAAAGGAAAAAGAACAAGTTTTATATAGTGTCATTTACTGTGAACCACAAGAGCTGAGGTATGGTCAGTAAGAGGAGACCTTTGGGGTTTTCTTCCTACCTGCTTCTTTTGGTCTTGGGCCAGCCTATACTGGTTGCAAATTAAAACAGGCTGGTGGTCAAGAGTGGTAAGGGGTCATGCTGCAGTGGCTCCATTCTGCTTTAGGGTACAGCCACAGCCCTCAACTGTTTTTTCTAGCAAAATGATGCAAAGCTGCCCCCATGTTCCTGAAACAGCAGATTTCCTCAAATCACATGGGATTAGCTATAGAGTTAGATTAAAACAAACAAACAAAAGGGGAGGGGGGGAAGTTGTCCCATCAAATTTTTAGGCATGTTATAGGGGATTAAAAATGCTTCCAGGATTAATATGGGAAAATACTCTGAGACATAACTGAATAAATCAGCAGTGATAATGCCATCCAGATATACAGCGGACGTCATTTTTCCTGAGTGATTTGTGTCCTTGTACAGAAAGCAGTGCTTGTAAACTTCCATGCCTTCTAATTTCTTTTAAAAATATTTTGGAAGTCTATAAACTGAATTGTGGAATAGTCAGCAGGTACAGCATAAAATGTGTATTGGCTGGTTACAGACAAATGAGATGACACTACAGTAATTGAATCAATACTTTCCTGTAGGAGGTTGTCTTACATTGTCATTTGCTTTTCAGATTGAGAAAGTGTGTTTGTTTCAGACATATGTGCAGTGCCTATTTCGCAATATCTCCAAGAATGTATTGAGTGAAACACCGATACTAATGTCAGATACACACATAAGATAGTGTAAAAATATAGTCTGTATGTTAATGATAACTCAGAACTACATCTGGTAAAATTCCTATGAGTCTAAACACACGGTGCCAAGTGAATAATTAAAAATAAACAAACTTTGCTTGCTTACCGAAGTTGCTTGAACAATAATTGCTTTCGAGAGTCCCACTCCTCTTACACTTTTGCTGGCACAGGGCAACTGTAGGTTTCACAACTTTTTGAAGAGCAATAAGTAAATTGAAATTGAAATGAGGTATTTGATGCAAATGCAAAGCAGTATGTTTAAAATAAGAAGAAAGATTAGTAATCCTGATGAATGCAGTGATCTGGTATTGCAAGGGATGAACACCACAGTAACAATACTCCTTTTCTCTGCCATTACCTCCAGTCATCACCTTTTCACATGTGTCTCAGCTACATATCTGTTCTAGTGACCTCATAGAATGGGATGTTACAGAAAATTTACATTTGTTTGCAGTGTGATCTTAAGTATGTAACTTATTTAGTGTTGTTGGCTGTTGCCATACAGCCTTAGCAGTAGACTTAAAGTATCATAACATTACAGTAACACTTCAGAGGGAGGGGGTGGCCTTTTATCTGAAATTACTGTACTGTGATAGAAGAGATCAGAGTTCAAATTCCTGACTTTTTTTCTAAATTTTTCACATAGCTTCCTGACATGTAGTACTGTGTATTTTTTACTGATGACATTTTGAAACACAACGTAATGTTTGAAGTATCTAATATTTGGGATTGACATTTCCTTTCTGAAGTTGAATGCTTTGTTTATAAACAAGTTAATTTTTTTCCTCCTTGGGTGAATATTAATAGTCTCTATTAATAGTTTACTCAGCTAACCCTTTCTGTAATGTGTAGGGATGCAGTATTTTTAAGGCTTTTATGTCCTTTTCAAATTTGTTTGGAATTGGTCAATGGTGTCATAATTATGGGAAACATAGAGCTGAGATGGACAGATTAAAAAAAAAAAACAAACCCTACGTAACCCTAATTTCCAAGAAAAACTAAATCAGTTATGATGAATATCTTTGTGGTTTTTTTAATTTCTTTAGAGTGGAGAGTTTTGCAGAAGTTCTGTTCAGACTATACTTCCTGAAAAAGAACTTCTGACTAATTTTCCAATCAGTAATTTATACTTGTACTTTTTTTTAATTGAATGAATTGATTCTTTCTATAATTTTCCAAGTTTCTGAGATTCAACTGAATGGTATTAAAATTACTTTGTCTTCAGTGTTACACCCATGACTGTTAGAAGGTCTGCATACTCATTGTTTTGCCTTTCAAATCCAAAGTTTAAAAATTGGACCCCATATTTTTTGTTGATTTTGGGTTCGTTGTTCTTTTTTTTTTTTTTTCCTTCTCCAGTCTTCTCATGATCGGTATTCAGTGAGACTCTTTAGAAAGTTAAATGCCTTCTACAAGGAGAAGTGTTCTGAAGAGCAAGTTATTGTGTCTATGGAGGCATATCTATTCATATTCTACATGATGTAGCCTCAGCCCTGCAGTCAGATCTACACGGTGATGGGAGTGAAGCTCCCACTGCCATCACTTCTATTGCTTGATGTGTCTGCATAGTTCTTTCCTACCAGTGTGCATTTCTAAAAATATTTTTAATTATATGCCGAGTTGCTTTTTATAAAGTGACTTCTGTGTAGAACACAATGTCGAAATAATACACTATATTCAGCTCCTAGAACTTTAAACTAAATGATAAGTTTTCAAATTATTGTTTCAAATTACAGTTAGCGCTTGGCAGAGTGCCATGCCACTTAATTAGTTTTCCTGTCTCACAGTGTCAGTTGCTAGGTCAGGCGAGTACCTCTTATCTCAATGCTACATGCAGTACAAGAAAAACTAAGAATTTAATGTTCCTTGAGTCTTTCAATTCAGTGTCTGTAGTAGGAAGATAAGAAATGTAGCAGGTAGATGAGTCACAGGTGCATGCCAGTATGGTAGCTGCCAAAAATTTATTGAGGTGCTCTGATTTTTCTAAATTTAAAATGGGGATTATGCATTACAAAATACTCTTGTTTGGTCCTCCCAGTGTTTTTTTCTAGTGCTAACACTTTTGAGTTTTACTTTTGAGTTTAGTAAATTTTGGTTGGTGACTTACTTCACTGTGATTTGTCAGTAGAGGCTGCCTATTGCTTGTACAGACAATTAATGTATTTTAGCAAAATATGAATTGGAGAAGAACTGAATTAAAAGTTTAGTTGCCTACCATTTTGCATGTACCCATATGGACAGACAAATGTATGACTTGATCCAATGAAATAAGAAAATCTATTACTTAATCATATGTATTGGATTAATCTTCATTACTTTTATTAATGTATTGTACAGCATTTATTTATTTCCTCAAGTACTAATATTTTTTTGTAAGATAGAGACTGAGGTAATTCTTGAAAGTGCCTACTAAAGTTAAGCATTTTATTAATGTCTGGGGTTCTGTGCAAGTTTGAACAGGTCTGATTTGCAGGATAATAAGCGAAGTCTATTTGAACTGGACACTTCTGAATGCAAATGACTGATCAGAAATTAACTAAACTGTAGAGGTTTGGTGTGCTTTGGTTTGTTTTTAAGATCAGAAATGCCTACACCATGCATAACTTATCAGACACTGAAAGGACTTCTTGTTTCTGTCTGCCTGACAAGTCCTTTTGAACACCTTTCCTCTGTTGTCCTCTCTCAGATTACTTTACATTGTTTTTATTTTCTAACACTGATGTTGTCATAAAAATTGATTTGGAATTCATTAGTAAAGTACACCTCTTTTGCCTGTGCACACACAAACAGCTCACAGAGCAAAACGCAATGGCGAAACCCTGAACACAAATGTAGTGTGAGATACCTGACAGCCTGGATTAGTTGAGACCAAATGTTTGAACTAACAACTTTGTTAAGAAGTGCTTTATGGTGAAGAACAACTGAATTATTTATTACTAGAGTAGCAGTCACATCAGAATGATTTCCAGGTCACTGTGATTTCATTTTTATAATGTTTATTTTCATCTATTTTAAATACCTTTCATTATCAGTGTTTAAGCACCACAGCTTCTTGGCCTCCTGCTGACAGGCCATTGCTGTCCTGACTTTTGATGCATTTTAAGTACAAATCAGGTTATGTGTTGCAAAAACATCATAAATAATTTGGTTTTCTGCTATAACTGTATCTTAAATATCTCGCATTCAGATTATAGAAATTGTAAGAATTTATCCCTTCAGTATCTCAGTAATGAGGTAGTTTTGGCAATACCTTCAGAGAAATCCTCCTCTGATCTTTCATATATGCTGTCTAGTCTTAAATATAAAAGGAAACTTATTTTTAGTGTGACATATTTCTTTATAAGTTCCAATCCCTGGTTTTTTTTTAAATAAAAAGAATTCTAAGAGAATGTCATATTGACAGGATGTTGACAGAATCTGAAGAGGGGTCAGGTGGCTTCCATACCAATTTTGCTTGACCTTAATAACTATATGAAGAAAAATATGGTCAGATTTGTACATATTAACTTGTTTAGAAGAAAGAGCTCCTTTAAATAAAACTATTTCCTGAAATATTTAGAACTACTTATACAAAATAACTTTGCTTATCCATTCTTCTATGGCATTTGCTAGCTAACTGTCAAAAACTGAGAAGAGACAGGAAAATTCTCTCAGCTGGAGCGAGTTACTGTACACTGAACTCTAGCCTGGGTAGATTTCCTTTTAATAATGTTAAGTAGATTCTTCCTTGAATATATTAAGATACTCCTTTGAGTATATTAATTTTAATTCATTCCTTCAACATTTGAAATACTAACAAATCATAAAACTGTCATTTTAAATATATTTTCTATTACATTTTCCCATAACCTTCTCCTCATCCTGGAATAATTTGTTTTTCTAAGAAATAAAATAAAGCCAGTAAAACTTACTTGAGGTAGCAGGGACTGTTGTGGTAGTAGGCAGAACTGTAGTTGTGGGTAACTTTTTTGGCCTAAATTTATAATGGCCAATAAAACCATCAGCTGTTAAGCTTAAATCAGACAAAAACTGAATAAGCAACTCATTTCTCTCAGACAGAATAGGCCTGAAATAGAAGGAAAAAAAAAATTCCGTTGTTTTGAATGTCAAAGCCAAAAAGCATTAATAGCATTCTTCTTACAAAAAAAAAAAGAAAGAGCGCTTCACTTCAATTATTGGTCTGAATGCAGTATCTGCACCCAGACTAATACTGAAATACATGTTTCTTTGCTGGCGTATAGGACACTGGTGTTCTGAGTGTGAAACTCATTCTGATGAATCATCTAAACCTCTGATTCCTGAAGGTTATGTCAATATGAGTATCTTTAAATTCTTCTGTGTGACTTCATTGCAGACTTCACTTCCATGGAATGGAAGGGGCTAGATTAACACAGTGGGAAAATATATTGAATAAATCCTCAGTATGTAGCAGAGGTAAGTAAATGTTTGGGGTTTTTTTAAATTTGTTTTTGTTTAATGAAAAACATATTACACATTTGGAAGGCCTTAAGAAATGAATTCAGTGTTGGATTCTGTAATTTTTTGACAAAAACACTAAAAATAAAATGTTTTGGGTTATTATTTCTGTGGGGTCAGTTTTTGTCAATGATTGGATTTTTCATTACCAAGGCCTTGAAGAGCTAATGGAGTTATTTTCCTAGGATTTGAAATGTCATGAAGAAGCACTGTTCAGTGTATTAGTTTTCAGTTCATAAACCGCATAGTACCTTCTGCGACACTAACTGCCTCTGGTTGTGGATGTAGTGCAATGAGACTTCATTCAAGACTGTTAGAGAAAATTGTATAGAATGCAAATCTAGCCAAAGCAGCACTTCTCATTCTTTTGAGCTTTCCACAGTCCTTGTCTCAATATTAATCATTAGTAACACAGATTTTTCAAGCAAAAACACAGGTTTTGGAAAGAGGAAAAAAAATAAATATAGGGTCAAAAGAATCTTGTTTGGGAGAGAGGAAAATAGAAAGTGGGTTTAAGATGTAGCTTTACTAAAATGACTGTTGTTTCTTCCCAGCAAGTCTGACAGAGTTCATGAGCAGGAGTTTTTCAAAACATTTAATCAGGCCTTTGAAGTAAAAACTTCTGAACATCTCCCAGTTCTTTGGCAGGTGTTTCAGAAGTCAGTTTACTCTGATGGCTGAGTCCGACATAACCAAAAGTAAGTGCCTGGTTATCTGGAATTCTGTAGGTTTACAGATGCCGCTGTAGTTGCACAGATTACACTTTTCTTGCTGCAGTATGACACAGGCTGTGGATGTAGGAGGGCACTGATTATCAGCTGCCTGAGAGCTTTGTTCTGCTTCCTGAACACCAGGACTACAGCACCAAATCTGAAAAATCTGACCTAGTCTGTATATCTTGTCTGTTTAAAAAAGGCTTTTTGTCTGAGAGGCAGGGAGGGGTAATTATTTCTCCTAATAAATTGTGATTATTATGTATACCATTCATTTATGTTTCACAGTAATTGTATTTAGGAATCAGGTATGTAGTTACACTGTATGCTTGCTGGTCTGCAGTTGGATCTGAATTCATCTCTGCAACCACCAAATGAGTTCAAGGTATCCACTTTACTCATACTTCTGATGTATACTGTTTCTGTTACAGAATGCCATGTTACATTATCTGTGTCTGCTGGTTAATGAGTTCCACCTTGCATAATTACTGTGTCAGAAACGCAACTAATATTCTATAGAAGCCCTGCTTCACAATTCAGTTAACATACTGTGATTTCTGGTTCTTTTACAACACTGGTCTTGTCCTTACTGTTTTTCTGAACCCAGCAGATAAATTATGATGAGAGTTCTGCAGACCTACTGGAAAATCCCCAAGAGCCACACTTTCCCCCTTTCACTGGATATAGAACCTGCCTATATACAACTTTGCAAGGGAAAGTGACTGTGTTCAAGCTCTATATTGGATTTCTGGTTAGGAAGCAATGCTATCCTAAAATTGGCTTTCAGGACACTTCTAACATTCTGTAACAGGAAATCTCATCTCTAAGCTATGTGGCCTGGCTCTGAGCCCAGTATTCTGCCCTTATTTGCCTGTTGCACAAAGTCCATACTAAAATGTCTATATTTTGAAGCCCACTAGGGTCTGGCAGACCAGTTTACAGCTTTGACATGCTGTGGAGATAAAATGCCAAGCCACAGTTGAGAGGTGGTTTAGGAAGCTACACCTGGTTGCCTCTCAGGGCTAACTGGCACTTCTTCCTTTTGCACTGCCCTGTCAGCCAAGACCAGATCCTGACAGTGCAAAACATACTTGCACAGCTGGGCTAGGTTTTAGCTGGAAGGAGGCGGTTAAGTCCCAGGGACTGGAGGCCACCAGCCTCATCCGTAAGGGGTATTGTTCACTGCTGCCTTTTGAGAACCAAGGGAAGGACAAGATCTTATGGAGTTCAGTTCTTACCTCCGTTGGAAAAGGCCTGAAATGTCACAACTTGCATATAGACTGAATCAAACTAGACTGCAATCATGCTTCTGGCTTAAACTCTGTTCAGTTATGAAGCAAGTCCATTTGCTCCAGCGCTTTGGGTCTGACTTGTGCACAACAAAACACCCATGGCAGGAACTGAAGGTATTTGTACAGAACATCAGTAGTTAAGTGTTTCTTATATGAGATTCTGTTAGGTTTGGGTTGTTTGGGTTTTTTTCCAGTATCTTGAAGGTAAATACCTTACTGTTCTGCAGCAACAGTTGAGTTGTAAGGGATGGATCTGATAAGTCACAAGGAGGTTCTCATGCTATGCTCATCAATGGAATACCTGTCTACCTGGTGACAAAGTATTAAGTAACATAAGGTCTGTCATCTGCTGGTTGCTTTTTTTTATTCTGCCTAAAGAAAAAGGAGTGTTTGCAATAGAATTCCTTTTGGGAGGGTGTTTTTACTTCAGATGATGGTGATTTGTTATTGAATATATACAGATGCTTACAACATTCAGGTCAAACATATCACCCATTTGGAGACCCATTCAGTCCACCTGCAGTCACTCCAAGTGCCACAGCACTGCAAGGCAACAATTCATCGTAGTTTCCAGGTAAAGCTCTAAGCTATAAAGTATGAAGTCACTTTGCTATGAATATGTGTGAGGCAAAAATGGAAAAATTCTGAATGTCATTTGGCAAAGAGGTGGAACTGAATGTCCAAGATTACTAACCTACCTCCTTCCTTTGAGGACTCAATACTAACTCTGCCTTGCAGAATCTCCCTCCATCTCAAAGCCTTTGGGTTGGAGACAATATGGAAAGATAGTTTACTTTTGCTAGTGAAGTTTTTTGTGAAAACAAGGAAGTGATTATGTGTATAACTACAGCTAGAATTTAGCCTCTTGCATCATTTTAGTGGCCTGAATGACCTAGCACTTAAAGAACAACTTCACCCATAAGACTTTCTGTTATCAGTATCTTTTTATAGAGAAGCTTTTTTAACTTTACTACAAGAAGGGGGCCTGAAAATAAATGGTTTTGTGTAGAAAGTTTCAAATTGAAAAAAAAAAAAAAAAGAAGGAAAAAAGAAACATGTAACTCAAGACCAAAAGCCTAAGGTGGCTGAAGGAAACTGAAGTTAATATATTTCAGGTGCAGCCCTACCCTACCCTTAATTAAATTCTTGCCAACTTTCTAATTTCCATGGGCCTAAGCTTACTCTATTTCTAGCACTGTCATGCTATTAATAGCATAGCTGCTGCATGGAGAAGAAAAATCTTTAAAAAGACTTTTTAAAACATCCTGCAGAATGTCTCCCTCCCCTCTTGTCTCCTGAGGGTATACTACGTAACCTGAAAAAACTCAAATCAAACAAAAACACAAAAAAACCTCACAGTAAATCTCAGTCTAGCAAGCTATGCTTAGAAGGACTGAGGCATGCACCTCCTCCCCCTGTACCACAATTAGTTGCCACTTCTAAGATGCAAGTCTAGTCACACACCTCCACGTATTCTTTTTTTTTTTAATAGCTTGTATTTTTTTAAACAAAATGAATCCTCTTCATCTTCTAAAGCTACTCAGCTTTAAGAAGCATCATGGAAGAGTAAGAATGGGAAAGGAGAGCTAAAAATTACTAGCCTCACCCAAAAACCTACACTTTGGGGGGAAATAATTATGATCCACTATTGCTAGACCTGATTATATCATCGCACTGCCATTGGCTGGGTTGGGAGTAGTTTTTGGGGGTGGGAGGCTTGGGGGGATGGGTTGGTTTTTGGGGCATAGGTCAGTTGGGGGTTGGGGGGGGTGTTGAGGGGGTTTGGGGGCAGAAATTTGATAGCAAAGCCTTCTGTACTACCCAGCACGCTCAGGAAAGCAGTCTGTGCCATGAGAGAACGTGCCCTGGCACAGATGGGAAGAGATGGTGAGCAGCGATGCAAGGAGCAGCCAGGGACCCAAACACACATACTAAGTGATGTTAGTGTTCAGCTACCATTAATATTGGTATTATACCAACATCAATAGCATTAGCATTAATATTGGTGTTATTAGACAGTGCTCTAATGAGGCCCGAGGGACAGGGCAGAACACACGTTGGAGCCAGGGCTAGTCAGGGATGGAGAGAGAAAAAGGAAAACCTAGGGAGAGACAAGATAGTAAGCAACTCCTGGAATTTCAACTGAAGGTACAAAAAGTCATTATTTAATTTAAAAAAGAATAAAAGCCTTTCAGAAGCCTAGTACAGAACTGTTAGCAAAATGACACACAGTGGTTGTGAAATTCTTCATAATTTAAGAAAGTTACTTACGCTGGTGGACTGTCTCCGCAGTACTTCCCAATTCTTTTAGCATCATTGATTTCCCCACCATTAAACACTGCAACATAGTCGTATCTGCAGTAGTTGTCTCTCTCCACATCAAACTTCTCGAACTTTAACTCTATTAGCTGCAGGGAAAGTGTAAATAACTCATTAAGGTTTTGATATGCAGAATTTTTTAGTGCTTCTTACAGTAAGTGACCTCTTCATATGAAGTACTAACTGATTTTTCTTTCCATAAAGGAAAAGTCCTTAATGCACTTAATAGTGCAGTAAAGTATTATAAATCCACGTGACTTCTCTCCAGTAAATAGTTCAACATATGACTCTAATCTTCTATAAAATATTTTGTTCTCAAATATATGCAAGTAACCTCTGATAAAGTTATTTTTTCTGAGTGAATGAAAACGAGATCATAGGTATTGGGTGTTGCTTTTAAAATAACTGTAACAAATCTAAACTACAGAAAAGGGGCTTTTAGTGTCATTGTATTGTTCAAGATACGCTAAAGAAAAAGTAAGGGCAAAGTTGGTAAGCGCCATTTCACAGACTTCATTAAGAGCAGGGTTTGAATCGCTGTGGTTGCCAGTGCTGTGTTTACTTGATGCAGAAATAAAAAAGTCAGAAACAAAAATATTGATAGAAAGAAAATTAGTAAATAGTAAGACTAAAACCAAGAGGAAGTAAGTAGTTAAAGGAATTGTGTTTCCATACACAATTTCCATAAATGTTGTGGCTTTACAAGTCATAAGTAAGAACTAGTATAACTCTGGTATTTCCAGTACTGATGCTATTATCTCCAATATGACCTGTATTTATGGACTTTTCTACTTAAGAAAGAAAAACAATGGACAAGAAAACAGAAATGGAATTCACTACTCTGAAACGAAGTCCTGTAATATGATTGTCAGCTGTGTGTAGCAAGGAAGGAAAATACAATAAAATGGCATGATTGAAACAGAGGTAATACAAGCACAACAGTATTTTAAAAAAATTAAATAAAGTAGCACAAATGAGGCTTGAGTGACAACGCTGAATTGTGTTGATTTGTAGATACGCAGGATTTGTCTTTAAAGGTCTATCTCAAACAAATATGATATTAAATTTTTTGAGACATTACAAAGAAAAAGGAGTCATTTGTACACTGCATACACTTTGATTTACTGACATAATAAAAATGATCTTGTTCTACATTCATAGTAATGATAGCCTGTTATCACCTGATGTCTTAGTTTTGCCTGGATGTGCTTTTGCACTATTCAGATGTGTAAGGTATCATTTTGTTTCCCATAAAGTATGAGTAACCTAGGGGGACTTGGTTTCAGAGATGAGTAACAGGCTTGTTTCAAAAACCTTGTTGTTGTGATGAAAAAATGCACTTTAAATGGAAGTACCTATCTGAATAATAAGCTTGTGATCAAAAAAGATTGTATAGAGAGTAGTAATGCAACTGGGAGCAGAAATGCTAATTCTTCCACAGCATGCAAAACAGCAGGCCATAATATCTACTTTACTATTGTTCATAAGTTCACTTTGCACTAATAAAGAAGTATTTCATGCTAGAATAGAAGCTCTTCACCATCATGAGAAGGTCCTCCATCTTCTGTAATAAATGAAGTAATCATTGGTTGATTTGTATTAGAAGCAAAAGAGTGCCTTGTTTTATTGCTCACATGCTTGTGAAAGGGAGGTAGGGACAACGGCACCTAAACTTTGGCAAATGGAAGAGTGAACAGCTTTTCATGTGCACTTGAAGAGAGATGCTTATTCACTACTTCCTCAGAAATGGCTTTTGTCACTGTCAAAATTTTGCCTCATTTGCATGCAAACAACCACTACTGTGTTACATGAAAAATATATATTCAGAAACTTGTAGATTCATGGCACAGGATCTTCTGAAGGCACAGGATATAATGCCCTTATTTTTATGCTTATATAGCCTTTCTTAAATCTTCTCTACAAGATTAGGAGAAGTTTCTTAGGCTTATCTAGAGATATTTGGAAAGAACCAAAGTAATCTGCAGTTTACAGATAAGGTTTTAAAAATCACTGCCTATCTATAGGATTGTTAAATGACCTGTATCTAGCAAGCAAGGAATGTGGATTAAAGAGGAGTACAGGAAGGACTAAGCTGACATACTGCTTCAGTTCAAGGGAGAAAATATCTTGGTAAATGGAAAAGTATGAAAGATCTGAAGAATATATTTATCTGGGGCAGCTTTTTTTATTTGGAGGATTATGGTCATGAGCAGAAGATTAAGAGGAAAGTTGTCTTTACATGTAGAGGAATTAAAAAAGCTGGACGTGGTTAAGAAAAGCAACCTCCCAGACATGCTTGGCGACCAAAACGTTCAATCGTTGTAGACTTCCTGCCAAGGTACAGAGCAGATGGCTCAGCAACAACCAGAAACTGTGAAGCTAGGATTGAGATTAGCCCTACAGTGTAGGGAACACACTTGTGTTTGCCATGTGTGGCAAATGGTGGCAAATGAGCCCTCTTGGTCTGCTGTCACATCTCTTCAGGTCTTAATGAAGTGGTAACATACACTCTGACAGCATCTGGCTAATTAAGCAAGCACGTTATGAGATGGAGCCTTCAAAATATGAAATAAATAGAACTTTACGAAACGTACGTTGACAATCCCTATGCAGGACTCGTCTGAATATATTCCCTGTACTGTAAGCAGAATAAAATAATTTCTGCTTTTAATAAATTCAATCAGCTCTGCCTGGGTGCCTCAATAGCAAACTGCAGCAACAGCGAAAATGCTACAAATGTTGTTAGACTTAAACCTAGCATTTGTCATCATCATATTTGGTCCTGAGATGCTCACCTCCCCTCATTTAATTTGCATGACGTTTTGTTAAATTAACAAAATCATCGTCAAAAAGATCTGTTTTAAAAGTCTCACCAGCCACAGATGCTTTAAAAAGTTTAATTTAGGGGAGCGTTATCAGTGCCCAGAGGAGGACATACAATGTTGAGAAAGCGCAGGAGTCACCGGAGCGAGCCATGTAACACATGAGAGGAAGGCGGGTGTCGCTGGAGCGTAGGTGCGCCTGCACGTACCCAACTTTACGTTTCAGCCAGAGAGCAGTCTTACTGTTTCAGTGTAACGCAGGCAGCGTGTTGTGCGAGCAGGCTGCGGATGAGGTGTTAGTCCTTGCAGGCAATGGAAGCGGGGCCGCGATGGCAGCGCCTTACCTGGTTCTTCGGGGCAACGATGTGCCAGGAGCAGGTGACTCCCGCCGGGTAGTCTCGCTCCGGCCAGTTGGGCGTTTGGAAGGACCCCGACGGCTTCTCCAGTCGTCCCCCACAGTACTGATCCCCTGCAAGTACAGCGTACGGTGCTGACCAGAGCGCTACAGGGGTGCGGGTAACCCGTGTAATGGGCTTGTTTTAGTGCAGGGCCCTCGGTGAGGGAGACGCGGCCGGTCCCAGCCGGTTCCGACTGCCTCTGCCACGGCCCCACCACAGGACGTGCCTGAGCCCTTCGGCCCAGCTGGTGGCACCTCTGGGAAAACATACTTAAAAAAGGGCGGGAAATGCCAGACGTAGACAAAGGGGGGGGTAAAAAAAAGAGTGAGAGATACTCCTGCAGACACTAGGGTCAGAGGAGGAGGAGCTGCAGGTGCTGGAGCAGCCATCCCCTCAGCCCGCGGGGGAGTTGTGCCGGGGCCGGTGGGCATTCCCAAAGGAAGTGCAGCCCGTGGAGAGCCCATGACGGAGAGAGTTTTTCCCTCCATATCTCCTCCTCCCAGTCCCAAATTACAAGCTACATCAGGTATGTAATCCTTATTTATAATACGATCACGAACCTTCTTTATTAAATTAAATCTTACCACGGTGCAGTTGTTTAATGTATCTTTCAAGAAGTTATCAATACGGGGATATAACTGGAAGGACTAATAAATTATCACCTGCACTGCATCTGCCCAACAACCTCTCCAGTCCGGTATCATGCTGATAGCAAAAGCCTTGAAGAAGAGTCACTCAGCAGGGTGAGTGGTTACTCACCACCTCCCTGTAACCTCCCAGCCTCTCGCAGTTCACGGTCTTTCCAAGCACAAGGCAATGCCTTTATGTTTAATAAGACCTAACACGTTTTTCTTTCATAAGTTTTTCTATTTGTTTTTAAACCAATGTAGAAATTCACAATCCACAATGTTCTCTGGCACAGCACTCCACCACTTAACAGCTCACTGAGAAAAATCATGCTCTCCTTTCCTTTGCAGCCACTTGCTGATCTGGTTTTTGTATTAGAAGAGACAGTGACTGTGGTCCCCGTTCACTTTCTCCTTACTGGTCAAGAATTTAGAGCCCTCTCCTACACTCCCCTTGACCTCTTCTTTTCCAGCATGATAGACGTCCATGCTGTGCAGCTGCTCTTTGTGTAGAAGATGTTCCTTAACTCTATCATAGTTATTGTCTCTGATTGCTTCTGATAGTTTTATCATATCCTGTTCTGAGATAGGAACATCAGAATGGCACACAGTATTCAAGATGTAGATGCATTGTGGATTTATAGTGGCGTAATTTGTTGTTGTTGTTGTTTGGTCTTTATTCCCTTTTCAAAAAATTGTTAAGTTTCTGTTTCTTTTTTTGATACCTATTGAGCACTGGATTGATGCGCAAGTATTGTTTTCATAAATTATCTATTTCAAACGTACGATCTCATTCCTAAGCAGTAATAGTCAATTTGGAGCCCGTTGTACTGTACATAAAGTTAGGATGTTTTCCCCTTATTTGCAACATTTATCTATATTGAATTTCATCTGCCATCTTATTGACTAGCCATTACTGTATTGCTACTACGTGCAGTTCTTCCACAACTCTTACAATAGTTAGCCCTCCTCTTTACTACTTTGATTAACTATGATGGCTAAAGAGTTATACTTAGCTACTTGCTAAGCAAGATAATTAATGAATACATTGAAAAGCACAATCCCTAATATCTCTGGCATCACATCTTTTTAAGCATTAATATGGCTCTCCATAGGGTTGTACAGTTGTATTTGTCTTCGACACATACATAATTGTTAATTACCTCTTTCATGTGGTTCTGCTGCAGAAAATTTCGCAATGAATCCGCTTCCAGCAGTATTTGCATCTGAAGTCATCTGCACCAACATTTTATTGCTGTTGGATACAAGGGCACCCGGTTTCACAGTACCGCAGAACCTGCCGATGCGTTGTCCATTGGCATGGCCGTTGTATATATCCACAAAATCATATCGGCACAAGTTGTCACTTTCTAGGTCTAAATATCTGAAAGAAAGAACCACCACTTTTCCTTCTGGGACCTGCAGAGAGAAAGGGAGGGAAGGAGGGAGAGATGTGTCTTGAAGTGTGACTGACACTACATACCTATCTGATCACACCATTTGCATGAGTATTTTCATATCCTTTACTTCTCACCAGGTAAGCTCTTTTTGTCTACTATGCTCCAGGCAGAGTGGTTTTTAAAATCATATTGGATCAATCATAAAAACAAAGCTCTGGCCCCCTCTTGTTGCCATTATCTTCTTCCTGATCCACAGTATTGTCTAGCCAGGCTCATGTCGTTTATTATATACCATCACCAAGCAGTTCAGCTTGGCATGTTTCTCTTATTTTCTGCTGAAAGTATGCGATCAGCCATGCAGTTCCCTGTCACCAAGTAAGGTGAGGAGGATGAGATTAATGTGGTTTAAAAAAAAAAAAAAAAAAAAGGAACAAGCAATTTACAATTTTGAGCAAATGAAATGGTCTCTCTTATCTTGCTGATTTGTGTCATAAAGTTTTATAGTTTGAAGAATTTTTTTATTTACTGACACACAACTTAGATTTGTAAATAAAATGGGAAACTTCAGGGTTAATGCTGTACAACCCTAATATTTAGTTATTTATAATATTAATATGGGTACATTTAGCTTGAAGGCTGCAGTGAAAGAATTATATTTGGAAAGAATATGTAAAACTATAAATGGAGAGTTCAAAAGAATCATTAGTGGGTGTCCTCAATACAGAAAAGAGTTTTGATTTCTGAAACATCTGAGGAAAGATAAGACAGGGCAAATCTTCTTACACGTCTGCATCTGTAGACATTGCGAAAGAGGCAAGAGTACTGAGAAGGATGTAAATTAAGAGAGCATAATAGTTTACAAGGAGGAGAACATTTCCTGGGATAGAGCTGCAAGCTTTTAGGAGAATAAGCAGCATACTGAGAAGTGAAAACTATTCTAACAAAGCACTCAATGCTATGTAACAGGACAGGAAGAAGGGAAACAGTATTTTAAAGTATAGCGGGACCCTAGACAGGCAGAGTGTAATTATCTGCATTCAGTTCATAGCCCAGTAGAATGGTTACCTATTAAAATAATTGCAGCTGTTCTATTTTACTGAGACATTGCTATTATTTTCTGCTTTAAATATATCACACACACTTAATATATCTGCATTAAGTCCATATTTAAGAGTTCAAGAATTTTTTCCTTCCTTAAGAGTGACTCATGTTAAAACACCAGTTTGAGAGAGACTACAACTAAACTGTTCCTATATGAAATTGTCAAACAGTGTTTTGATGTTGTGAGTTTCAACAGTTAAAAATGCCTTGTTCAGGTATAGATAGAAATGCTATAGATGGAAGTGACTACTTAACCCACAGAAGATACGAATACAGGCAGTAGCTGTAGATGTAGTGAAAAATGTGCTGTAGATACGTTAAGATTACTCGTTCATGCGGCTGCTTTTATGTCCAGTGCTGATACTGATTCTGCAGCAGGAGAGACTTTTGCATGAGCTGTTTTCAGCTGCCCAGGGCCCACGTACACACTGGCTGGCCAGCCCCACTGCAGTTCCAGTTGTTTGTTTCAGAGTATTTTCCTTTAAGTTCAAAGTTATCTCAAAAATGCATTCAGTTCCCCTGGGCTGATGTACATCACTACTACTACTACTACATCAAAACCACAAAACTCATCTAATGTTACACAGAAATTCCAAAGCATGATGACTATGTTTTAGAAAACTTTAAAACCAGATGTTAGGTTTAAAACTCATACTACTGAAGTGAGCAAGCCCTATAGCTGGTATCAGAAAATAACCCACATGTATATGTAGTCAGCATAAGGCCAGTACAGACACATGGTCATATTGTAAGATATTCTGTGAAAGCAATATGACTCCTTGAATCACTGCTCTCATAACTAAATCTCTTACTATTGCAGTGACTTGTCTTCTAGTCTGAATCACTAAGAAGCATTAAGACATGGTCATTTTAACAGAAAAAGGGCTAAAAGGAATTTGGTATTCCTGTCAGAAGACCTGAATGTTATTTATGGTTATACTACAAACTCTATGTGACCGGACAAATCAGTCAAAAAATGCTGGCTGTAAAGTTAGCCAGATAAAGTCAGATTTAGGCAGTTAAAGCAGCCTTTTTTTTCCAGAAATATCTATGTAAAATAACATACGCTCTTTTGGGGTGGAACACTCATTATTCTTAGATTTGTGCAACAGGATCCAAATGAGGTGACCTTTAAAGGTTATCATGTTTTAGAACACAGTGAGCTGTTATGCCTACAGTTAAGATTGTCCAACATTTTCCGCTACAGTGTCTTGCAGCTTTGCTACAACTTACCCATCTTTAATAAGTTTCCCCTTTTCCTTCCACTGTTTCTGAAAGTTGAGTAGAAGTTGCTCTACCATATTAGATTAAATAGTTTTGTCAGTGCTTTTGAGATTTTTCCCTACTTTCTCAGCTTGGAATTGCTTCTTTGAAGACACCTACTTCCTCCCAGAGTTTGAAGAAGGAAGTTGAAATGTGAGAGGTGGCTGGTTCTGGGGTAAGAAAAGGGGGTTTTTGCTGTCCTTGTAAGAAGTGCATTCAGATTTAGCCAAGTGGTTATCCCTCAGTAATGCTGATGGGTGCTCACTGACAGCTTTGTTCCACAAGCATATTGAACCAGCGCTGCTCTGCTCACACCAGCTTTAAGGTGCTCAGTCCTACCCCCAGGTATTCCGCTCTCTCGCGCTGCCCCAAGTGGGGCATGGGGATCCAGGACGTGGGACTGACCTGCACTCAAGAGGGAGAGAACTCTGGCAAAGCAGCCAAACTCTGAACTGCCAGCCAACCATTCACTCAAGTCTTGGGTTCTCTGTTTCGTGGTATAAGTAATTCTAGGCAGTGTTGTATGCTTCCTTCTCGCTCCACCACTGAGCATGTTATACTGTACTACATTACATTATCTAATTATATTTTGTTACAGTTTTTAATTTCTCTAGCTTCTGTTAGTTCAGTCTACTTGATCTTGGTCAAGACGGTTCCCCATAGATGTACTGAGTTTCTAAATTTTGTTTCATTTTTGTTTGTAAGAAAATGTGTAGGAAAAACTCAGCCACATGGTCACAAATGTTTAACAGGGAGCCTACTCCAGATTTTAGTTGTCAGAAAATCCTTGCTCACATTTAGCTGAATTTGGGGAGGTAAGTCATTTATGGAAATGTGTGAACTGGGGCCCTTAATCACAGTCACTACTTACTGCCATTACTTTATAAAATAATGTTATTGCTTATTAAAATAGTATTTGTCATTATTCACAAAAATAACAAATCTGTTCCAGCATGTTCGATCAATTAAAAGTTTGTGATCTGAGCAGATGACATTCAAGAGTGCAGAGGATGGTGGTTCCACATTCTGGCAGCAGCCGCTCCAGTTTGCAGCTACTCCCAAGGAATCCCACCCTAAACACAGGCATCTTTGCAAAACAATACTTTTCTTTCATTTCTACCATTTCCCTTTTTTAAATGTTGAAAAATAACATGCTAAAATCTGCTAATGTTTATCCTAGAACATCTAAAATATTGCTCCATGAGAAACACAGGGGAGAAAGCAAAGGCCAGCATGACTCAGTATTGTTTACTTTGAGCCACATCCGAGCCTGATGCAGTAAGATGATGGGATACCTCAGAGGAATAATTGGAAGGAATTGCAGCTCTTTTTTTATTAAAAAAAAAAAAAAAAAGAAAAAAAAAGAGGGAGGAGTCAAAAGAAGAATATGTGATGCTTCCCCTGCAGGGTGTGCCTTATTTTTCTGTTTTATCCATCCAGCTGGTATCTTTCAACGACAGAGGCACTTCAGCTTCTGTCTCTCCTTGTCACACTGAGGATGACTGACCCATACTTGCCCTCTGCTTCCCTTCTTATTTTTAACTCTATGAACTTCTTTAGGATCAGAAATTAGGACGCTAAACTCATGTGAAGGATGGCTTACTCCTATTGAAAGCTAAAGGAAAATAGCACTCCCTGAATTTTTAGGGGGAGCTTTTCTAGAGCGTAATTCTCTAAATTCATACATGTATATTATTAACTTCTTCAAAAGGGTGTGATTACTTTATATATACAACACCCCACAAAATAAGGTCTCTGGATTTTTTTGGTTATCATTCATTGCAGGTATTTCATATAATGTTAATCAAAGTTCACTTACATTTGAAGTAGTTAAGCTATTTTTCTGTTGTTGTTCTGACTGAACACAAAGCCCTCTTCATCATTGTGCCGCTCTCAGTTTCTGGGGAGGATTCCCAAACTGTCATACTTTTCAAAACTACTTGGTTTAGATTATTTGCTTTGAAAATAATCTTTTGGTGGGGAAAAACCCTTCAATGCCAACTTTCTGAGAAAATTTTTTGCCTTATTTTTAAACCTATATTGTATATGGGTTTAATATATTTTGGTATATGTTTAATACCAAAATGCTGATTTTATGTTTTGCCATAGCAGTCCTATGTAGACTTGAAAAATACATCAGCTACCTGCAAGCCAAACACATTATTTCTCTCTGCTGAGAATGAATGTGAAAGTTATTTGGAGTTACATCCTGGGAAGAACCACAGTTCCTGCCTAGTCGCTTGTTCCCTAGCTCCATTCTCTCCAGCCACAAAGGAACAATTTTTTTTAAAAATTCGTATTAGCTTGCTCTCCCTGACAAAGGCACTAGATCCTGTTCAGCTATTTCTTTTCTGGCAATACAACCATGCGTAAAGATCTGTTCTGTACTGGAAGGGCAGTTTCACAATGATATGGGAAAATGAATGCTTAAAACATAGAGAAAATGATTTAAAATATTTCACTCCCCCAGGGCAGATTCCTAACTCCTCTGATAAGTAAATTTTTCAAACCTTGCTTATTGTCAGCAAACCTGCTGGAACACAGCTCCTGAACCTATAAAAATATAACCTTACATAACTCTGACAGTCTTCAGTATTATTGTTGCACATAAAGTTGTTAGAGTTTTATGGGAACTACACAGTCTGCCAGAAAAACACAGGACAGCAGTCCAGATTCTTGGACTACGTGACACATTTATGTGAGGTGATGGCCAAGAAGGATTACAGAGTATTAAAAGTAAATGTATATGACATATTTTAGATAAAGCTATATACATTACTATAGGAAAGGAAATAGCTGTACAAATGACTTCTTAGCAAAGCCAGCTAAAAGCTGCTGGGTAGTCTGCCAAGGTTGTAATATAACGACAAGCATGTGCTGAACACTTCTTAGAGCTCTTAGAATAGAGAAGCTGTTTTCTTTAGCCAGCTGAAAAAGTCCCAGTCTCTTGAAATAACAGAACCATAATTGAGTTAGAGAGACTCTTCTAGCTTTAGCAAACCAGTTGGAAGGATTTCAGCTGATACCTGAATGCTACATTGCTTTATCTGTATTACCCATTTCTTCTAAAGAATGAATTAGCTGTCACTCTGCCTCTCTGTGGATTTCTTCTATAGATGATGGGATCCTGTAGTTGAGGAAACAACAGCTTCATGCTTATTGTGACCCAGATGCAAACTGAATCAATGTCTCCTCCAGTCTTGCAGACTTGTCAGATCCTGCATTAGGCAGAGTGTTTTCAGGAAGGTGTTCACAGCCCTTGGCTAAAACGGACAGGCAAAAAGTCTTAGTCACCTTCTAAGACCAGATGCTAAATGAGGAAGCTTAACAGTAACTACAGCATATTTCTTCATGGCAGTGTAACTGGCTTCCTTACTTGGGTGCTCTTGCAAGCTATTCTGAGCCTCAGCAGTATCTGGTGAAAGGGCTTTGTTGTTTAAATTCAGGCTAACCAGACCCTTGAGTGTACCACTTTCCCTCAGTTTGGTAAATCATCCTGTTTTTAAAGAGGGTGCAGTCTTAGCCTTGCAAGTTTTGTAGTCCTTGCCTTCCCTACATCCTTCCTGTGCATCCAAAAGACAGGGTGTTCTACACAGTTGACGGGGAAAAAAAAATCGGCTTGGCTTAGTGAACAACGCTGTCTAATAGGGGTTAAATGAGGTGGGGGCACAAGAAAGCCTGGACTGCTACAGTTGTGCAGCCCTTCTCTGGCTTTGGGTGAGCTACAGAGAACAAGTATGCAGCAGTTGAAGAGCAGGAGTAAATGGCAGCACAGCAGGAAAGTGGGAGTCAGGATGATCCAGGACAATCAGGAAATGCCAGAAGCCATCGAGTTCCCCCCATGGTCAGTAAAGCCCAAGTGCAGACACAGCTCTGCTACAGCTTTGTGGTAATGCTTCTCAAAATGTCCAGGCTAACCTGGATGCTCACATCTTGTTGGCAACAGCCACATTAAGTCTGCAATGAAACCACTTGGTATGGGCTTTTTAAATACAATCAATTGTTCTCTTCTCCCTCTACCCCCAATATATGATGAAGGGCAGATCCATGGGATGCTTCAGTAAATGCTTCTTCAGTGCTGCCTCCATTTGTCACCCAGATTTTTTGATGGTAAAAACTTTTTGCTGTTGTAATCAAAATTATTATTCCCCTGCAGATTCAATTTTCAACTTCTGAAGATCTAATACTGAGTTATATTGGTAAACTAACTTTGGAGTTTTTTTCCCTTTTATTTAAGGCATGTGTGTATGATTCCAAATGCAATTTGCGTTTGCTCTTCAGATTGTAAGGTGGGCCATGCTAATTGCTGTAATCTCAGCTCCGTGACAGCAGGAAGCAAGTTTATTTATGAGGATACGCTGTATTTCACATCATACTTATGATAAAGTCAGTCACAGATTAAAGGTAACCTCTAATGTGGCCTTAATAATAATGCAACATAAAGGTGCGGAAAGCAACTGTTGCGGCTTCACTGGTATCCTTCAGATAAAATTATTAAAATTACATCATTTGTTTGGTACGAGAGTCATTTTAACTGAACACTGTAAACAGATCAATGTCTCCTGCTTTGCATCAGCATCTCTATAGTCACAGGACACAATTATCCTCTGACATCCTATTCTACTGCCAACACCTAGCCTGTAACGCAGTCTTTGAACTGAAGTTGTGTTTAGCGATCCCATCAATGCACAGACTAATTTATTTTTTATGCTTTCTTATACTTCTTTCTTTCTGCAAAGCCCATATTCTGGGCCTGAATGTCAGAAGAGTTCTTAGTGAACTGTGCGTAAAAAATGGAGAGGAAATTTGGTGGGTAATTTTGGAGGGCTTAATTTGTGCAGATGTGAGGAAAAGTAATCATTCATTCAAATCCCCTTCTATAAGTCTGTGAATAAGGACACATCCAGCACTGCAGTGTTTAGTCCTAGTTGTTTAATGGCATTTGCTGTCCATGAATATGATGTCTCTGCCCTACAGTCTCATTTCAGCATCAAAATATCATACCACGTGCTTTCGCATGGTCATTTGTCAATGTAACACCACTTTCCTATTGCTTTGTCAGCTTGCCGTATGACATACCCCAGACATCCTGGCTGGCAGAACAGTGTTATTAGCACACTACAAGCAAACCTGCCTGAATTTTTTGGTTTTGTTTGAAACTTTTTCTGTGTCTTCTTGCCAACGAATTTTGCTTTTCATTATCTGTACCTCAAAGCTCTACTTTAATTTGTGTGATCTAACTAACTATTGCCTTCTGCAGTGACTGGAAAGGTAGATGTTTGCTTTCAAGTGGGTTAGTTTAAAACAATTAGAGGTGTACCTATGGAAGTCAATGAAAATTTGACATTAGGCAAGGTCAGTTCTATTTCAGCCAGTATTATCATATTACAGCAACCCTAAAAAGCTCCAGATAGTTGAGCTGCTCTGAGTTACCGAGTTCATTATTGCACTCATGGTATCCGATATAAAACACTGGCATTAACAACACATAGCTCTTCATTGTCTTCAGCACTGATTTTGTGATATTAAAAATTCTTACTGTGATTTTCCAAGTACATTTGCTGTTTGGAGGGTAGACTCCGGGAAATCCTTCACTCCCAATAAACCCTGACTCTCCAGATACAACTCCTCCACATGTAAATGTAGGCCTGAGAATAATAGGAAAAATAGTGCTTAATTTTTAAATAGATTTCATTTATTCTTTGTGTAGTAGTAAAGCGGCATGGACTGTCTTAAAAACACAGCTTAAACACTTAAAAACATTGCTAACTTTAAACATATGTTTCATTACTTACATAATTTCACTATGGGCATAGAATGTGCAATTTAACGCGCTGACTTTAGGTGTAGAGAAAATTAACTACTTGGACCATAATTCTGGGTTTACACAGACTGTTATCCTTCCCTCCTTTTTTAATTGATAAGATGGAAGGTGTGGTGGTGTGATACACCATTGCAAACCGCTATTATAATAAAAAAGATATTAGAAAGTCATTAGTAATGACTTTTTATAGTCTATAGAATAGTAGTTAAAATAGCACAGCAATAAAACCAGCTTTTAATTCCTTTCTTTTCCGCCCTGACATGCTCTGAATTCAGGTATTTTAATCGAGCAAGCCGCCTCGGAAGTTTTCCCTCCCCCACCACGCGTGCCGGTCCTGCCCTCCTAGCCTGGCGACGCATCAACCCTCCGTCCCGATTTTGCCGGTGCGAGGACGTTCGGGGCGAACGAGGTCGGGCCTCGGCCGCGGGGCGCGGGGAGCCCCGGCACACCCCTGCGCGGAGCCACGGCGTTCCCGCTGCGGACGAGAGGGTGAGCGAGCGCCCTGCCGAGCTTTGGGTAGCGGCACGTCGGGTCTGTCACAGCCTTACGTCGCACCGTCTTACACGGGACGCTGCACGGGGCTGCTCTCGCAGTGGCCCGTCCCCCTGGAAAAAAGCCCCTCTGCGCGCCCTCCCTTGAAGCGGTAGCGGGCAACGGAACCCCCGCGGGTGGTGCCCGGGGGCAGCGGAGGCGCCCGCGCACCCCACGGACGCGCGGTGGGCACCGCTCCGGCGGG